CAGCTGGAAGCCAGGGCCCGTGAGAGGGGTGAATTAGCGCCCAGTGGAAAGGCTGCCCCGCCGGGTCAGAGTATATACGCGAGGACTGCGCCAATAAGTGAAGATACATACTGAGGGTACCGGGAGGTCGGGTTCTCCGTGCCAGGAGGCTGCTATAAACATGGAAAGGTGGAAAGAGAGGGAAATGTGGGGTGATCCCTGTGCTCTTGGACTGGGTACTGAAGAACTGGTGTCATCTCAAGGGTTCTTTTCAATAGGGATAGAAATAAGGTCTTGGCTTCTGAGCGCTATATTCTCCAATCTGAAGGACCAGGAAAAGTTGGCGAAATGGCTGAAGAATGACATGTTTAATGTCATTTAAAGACATTAAAGACCCACACATTAAACATGCCAAGGAGGGGTTGTTTATACGGATTAAAAATATCTATTAGGAAAATATACAGCCAACCTTTATGCATCTAACAACAGCAGTGCACACGGAGGGCAAGGAGAGACTGAATACAGAGGCAGGCCACTCCAGATTGGTGGGGGCAGGTTAATAAGCAAGGGAGCTTACATACAAGGCTTGTCTTGGGCAGCTGTAAGAAACATTTTTTTTTCTTTTTTTTCATTTATTTATTTATTTTTATGGTGACATTGGTTAACGAAATCCAATAAGTTTCAGCTGTACACTTTACCACTAAGGCCTATATATGTAAGACTCTTAAACATGCAGAGGTTTTAACTGGGTTCGGACCCTGTACATCCAGATGGGCTCAATACCTTACTCTTTCAAGACTTTGTCTTTGAAAGGGCTCTGCCTATGGGAATAGTGGGCAGAACATACACTCCAAAGACGGGTTGGAGTAAGGAGCCTCTGATTGCCCAGCTCCAGCTCAAGGACAACTGGTGGTCACATCCTCTCAATGATCTCTTTCAACAGATGACTGTAGGGGTTATAATGAGATGATTGCAGCAAACCATCCAGCACAGTTCCTGGAGCTCCATAAGCTCTCATTATACGTCAGTTCCCTTCACTTGGTTTCCTCTCCTCAGAGTGACAAGGATGCTCCAGGTTATACCTGAGGACAAATGTTGACTAGACATCTTCATCTTGAATGTCCACAACCACCCTGATGGCTCCTTACTGGAAGTGCATGAGTGCCCGTGGCTGGCCTGGAGCCACAGTCATGCATGGAAGAGCTGGGCTCAGGACGCAGGTCTTAACCAGAGCAGGGCATACCTGCCCATCTCCCTCCCTAGCTAGGAAGGGTGGTCCTCCCTCATCAGAGTGCCTTAGGGCTCTGGTTTGATCCTCTCCCATCTTGGTTGTGCCAGGCTACGTGATCCATGGAGTGGGTGTGGAACTATCAGAGATTGAATAGGACCATCTGAACAAAGGAGAGGGAAACTCAGGATATTGGCAGGGACTGGGGTCCACTTCTCCTGTGTTGGCAGATGTTGGAAGGGTCCCTCTTGTCAGGGTGCTCTGACCCATGGAGAGCTATTGGTGACAGGTGAGGAGTGCACCCAGTGCCCTTATCCTGGCTGTGCTCCTCAGTGTCACCACACCTTGCCTCCTCAGGGCACCTCCCTCCTGAGGCCTGTGGGCCTGCCTTGCTCTGTCTGGGTAATGGAGCTCCCCCCTCAACCATCCCCCTGCCCAACTGCCACCCTCACCCCTAAAGCAGCTTCAGAGCCCCTGGCCTGGCTTCTCTGGGGAGGTTCCACGAAGTGAAGCTCCAATGGGACAGTTGGAGTTTAAAGTGGAGGGAAGGGAAGCTTTCATCTCAGTGGTTTCTCCAAAGCTCTGCACCCACCTGGCCAGCAGGAGGCGATGTAGACCTTGCCACCTGCTGTTGCCAAGGGGCCTCCAAAGACACAGAATAATCTGCAGTCTGTTTCACCTCACTTCCCCCAGCCTACACTCACCGTTCAAATGAATTAAGCGCTTTCCAATACCAAGCTCTAATATGAAGACAAGATAGGTATTAGGTTATTCAGACAAAGGTTGCAAATTGGGCAGTTGCCAACTCTTAAGCCTCTTGCTGCTGCCTTCTCCTCATGGGGGCAGTGGTCCAGGTCAAGGCAGGTCTCAAGCATCTCCTGAACTGTCCCCACCCACTTAAAGCCCTCTGAGGGTGCACCCATCCCCCAGCTCCTGGCCATCAGAGGGGTTATCTCACCAATATGCCAGCTCTCCTCCAAGGACATTGCACACCAGAAACAGGAGGCCTCCAGTTTTATTTTATTTTTTTGAACTCAAGGACTTTTTTTTCAACTTAGACAGCAAGATTTGACAATAGCAGAAACAAGAACATTTCTCTGACCAGATTGTGCTGACCAGTACAGAGTTCACACACACAGAAAAGTGAAAGTCATCTTATATGGGTTGGTGTCTCTGATTTTGTACAAGTTCCGCTGCCTGGAAAACAGACTGCAAATAAATAAAGTGCATTGAGAACCCACCAAGCAGCTAGGGTCCAGTGGGGTGTGAGGGGAAGTGGGAAAGGAAAAGCAGCTCACTACTCAAGGCCGAAACGATGAGAAAAGCAGTGGCAGGAACACAGCCTAAGGCTCATTCCCTTTGAGCAGGGACAGCCACAGCAGCTCCACCCAGAGCCACTTCCTGTGCCCCTCGGCATTGGGTGGAGCTTCTCCATCTGTGAGGCCAAGGACCCTGAGGCTCCTATGCACATTTCTCCCTGAGGGCCAGGGCACAGAATCCATGAGGAGCCTTCCTCATGCCATTCTCAGGTCTTCCTCCTCTCCGCCTGACCCAGGAAGAGGCTGGAGCTGGGTTCCAGTTTCCCAGATGGTGAGACCTGGGCTTGAAAGGTATCAGCCCCCAAAAGGACCTGCATCCTCCTCCCCACTCATGAAGCCTGTGTCACTCTCCTTTCTCTGAGGCTGTCTCCAGAGATATATGGATGGAGTCGGCAGGCTGGCAGACTCCCAGAAGTGGTCCTGGATGGATAGGGTTGGAGTGGAGGAGTTGCCACCAGGACTGCGGGCTCCCAGGAGACTTGGCACAAGGAAGGAAGCCATCCAATCCTGTCTCTGGGAAACTGCAAGGGGCACATGGTGGCTTTGGTCCAGTCTCAGTTCCCTGGGTGAGGCAGGTGATCTTCACCCAGGACCCGGGTTCCAGCTGGGGAGGGCAGATGGTGTGAGACTGGGCCACTCTGTCCCTGAGGCCAACCAGACTGCTATGGTTTTCAGCCCTGGGAATTCTGAGTGCCTGGGCTGAGAGCAACCAGTGTCAGAGCTGATGTGGGACTGGGGGTGGGTGGTGAGGGCCAGGGTCTCTCTTGACTCCCCTTCTGGACTGCTCCTGGCCACCCTGGTATGCCAGTCGTCAGCAGCACATGCCAGTCCTCCAGGACCAATCCAAGCTCATCCTAGAGGAGTGTCTCCCATGTGATTCTGGGCATGGGGTCGGGCCCAGAGACAGAGAGAGGAAGTCATACATGGTTCCTAGCCCCATCCCACCCCAGGTTTATCCCTTCACCCTCATGGTTACATCATGTACCCAGAGGCCCCTACTCCCACCCAAACTGAGAACCTTGTGTCTAATTGCTGAGGAGCCCTTGGTCAAGCTTGGGGTAGAGGTGGGCAGACCCAGATCTGTGGGTGTAGACCTCAGCTACCCAGGGGCTTCTGGGGCTCATCTCAGTTCAGACTGTCCTCCTGGCCTTCCCTTTGATCTCTCCTACCATTCCAAGGAAAGCTAGTACCCCACATTCCCTACCTAGTACCTCTCTCTCTCTAAGTCCTCTGGGAGCCTTGTGCTCCCCTCCCCCATCACACTGTGCCAGGTGTCTAGGAGAAGACTTGGGGTGGGATGGGGGACTGCAGGCCTAGGGACAGATTTAGCTCCACCACTCTTTATCTGTATGACTAGGGCAAATGCACCCACCCCCAACCCCTCAGCCCCGCCCAATAGCCAGTTTCTCCAGTCAGTAGGTAAAGAGAATAAAAGTCCCTCATGGTGTTGCTAGGATATCTCAGTGCCCAGGTGACACGGTCCCCATCCTTCCACATGCCAGCACTGGATCACTGGGTTACCCCAGCCTTCGGTGTAGCTGCCTGGAAGACCACTCATCTCCTCCTTGGTCAGGCCGTTCGCTCAGTTGCTCCCGGGAAGCTCTTGGGCCAGGGGTGCCCGTGGGCACGAATCTGACTCTTGAGGCCAGAGAAGGAGAGAGTAACCACATACAAACACCAGTCCCTGGAAGAAAAAAAGAAATGGAGACTTGAGAGTTGCCTCCCCACCCAAAGAGTTCCCAGTTCCCCAAGTATCGCCTCCTCTACAAGTCCCTACCGCATCTGCTCTCTCCACCCAAGCCCAAGAGCTGCTCTCTGCTCAAGGAAATCGCCATTTTCCAGATTCTTTGGGTCCACAAGGGGCTGCTGGAGGCCGTGAGTGCTGGAGGATGGCATTCTGTGGCACCGGGAGGGCTGGAGGGAGCATGGCGGAGATGGGGTAAGAGCAAAACTGTGGGGGTGTGGGTAGGGACGAAGGTGTCTTTCCTCTTCTCCCCTGTCTCCCATGCAGAGCTTGGGAGGATGCCCTCAGAGAGAAAAGAGGGCAAAAGGGGCAGCAGGGGCAGGCAGACAGAAGCCCCCACCCTCCAGCCGGGAAGACAGGGTGTAGGGAGCTGCAGAGAGCCCAGGGGCCTGAGAGCTGAGAAGGAGACAGACCTGCGGTTTGGCCAAGAACACAACCATCCTTTATGGCTTCCTACCCAGGGGGTAGAGAAGGCTGGCAGCATCTTTTCTCTTCTAGGGCCTCCCCGGGGGCCACCCCAGCCCATTCCCTCCCATTTCCTCTGGCTCAGGTGACTCCATCGCGGCCTCTGGGGAAAGAGGGGCGGGGACTGGGTCGTGGGCAGGCGGGACGCCCTGGTCTCTGTTGGTGATGGGCTGAACCTCTGATATGCACGATGCACAAGCCACCGCCGTCCCTCATCCCCATCTTGGAATTGTGACAAGGGGCTCGGAGAGCCTGCGGAGGCTGTGCCTGCCTCTGCTCGGCTCTGCAGCTCTCTGCACTGGCTTCCTCGGGTACCTTCCATATTTCCCCGAAACCCCCAAGGAGTCTGGACGTCTAGATGTCACGGCATCCGCCCCTCTCCAGCCCACAGGTCCAACCTTCGGCCGCCTACCTTTTCGGTCAGGCCCAGTCAGAGCAAGTGCCTGCAGCACAATTTCTTCTTTCTGGTTTCCCCTTTCGGCCAAGGTGAGGCAACAGGTCGGCCACACTCAGATAATTTCCTCGAGCTCGAGGGAAAGGACCCGTTTTGTGAGTTCCCGTGCAATCCGGCACCGGCCGCGACGCGTGTGTGTGGGTCACGGCTGGGTCCGGGGCTCGGTGGGCTCGGTGGCTCGGTGGCCGGCGTCCTCCCGCGGAGGTTCATTTTTTTAAATTTATTATTTTTAATATATATATTTTAATTAGAATTGACATACAATATTATATTAGTTTCAGATGTACAACACAGTGATTAGACATCTGTATAACTTATGAAGTGATCACTTCGATCTGTGGCCACGGGCGCTCACTCGATCCGCACCTGCAGGCGGACGTTGAGCATCACCGAGGCCACGACGTAGAAGTAGGGGAAGTTTATGCGCAGCCGCCAGGCCAGGTCGAAGAAGGTGAGCAGTGTGCGCGTAAGCCCCTTGCAGAAGGCGTGGTAGGAGCCGCGGGTCGCAGCCGAGCGCGACAGCCGCACTGCCAGGCCGGACAGGGCCGCCGCCGCCGCCG